ACTTCAAAAATAGTTAATGGGATAAACTATTAATTAATAAAATTTTAAATTCCACTGACTGGGAAAAAATTGACACGAGTCGCTTAAAAAATAGTTAATGGGATAAAAAAAATTAAAGAAATTTCAAATTCCACTGACTGGGAAAAAATTGGCACGAGTCGCTTCAAAAATAGTTAATGGGATACACTAATAATTAATGAAATTTAAAGGAAAAGCTCAGGTCACGTCCAGGTTTTCCTCTGCAGGTTCTTGTGAGGAAAAGCAGCTCCACACACACATCACCAGCACACAGAATTATGGGGTTTGGGTTTTTTTTTTCCCCTCAGAACTTCCCCAGCAGCAGCTGACAGAGCAGCTTTTTTTTTTTTTTTGCTTTCACCAGCCCTAATTTGCTTAATAAATCTGCAGGTGACACGGAGGGATCCACTCCAGCCACAGGAGAGGCACCAGAGGAAGGGATGTGGGACTGGGAAGGGCCCAGGCACCACCACAGCTGAATTACCCCTGGGTGATTCTGCTCCAAGGAGCCCCAGGAGCAGCTCAGAACCTTCCAGGCACTGGTTCCAGGGAAACCACACCAGTGCTCTGCCTCCAAGGTCACCCCTCCCAAATTCCAACTGGTTTTCATGGAGATTCATCAGAACTCTCAAAAAAAGACCAAAAAAACCCAAAAAGGCTTCTCCCTCTTCAGGAATCCAATCCATGTGCTGAGCTCTGCTGCCCAACACCTTTCCCAGCAGGAAAAGAGGCTTCCAGACCAACCCTCCAGCTCCTCTCAGTGCCCAGACACATCCTGGTCCCTCTGCTCTGCAACCAGACCCTCAGCGTGGATTTCAAACACTCACTTGTGACCTTCAGCTCAGAGTCCTGAGGTGGGATTTTCCCAAGTTCCTGGGGGGATTCTCCCCAAGCCCTCTGTGGCCAGGACTGTTTTGACTGAGAGGTTTGGTTTTTTTTCAGCTCCAGAGCTCCCCAGCCACCAGCAGAGCAGGATTTCCCCCTCACCACCCCTGACAAACCAGCCAACTTCCCCCCAGCAGCAGAAAGGGGAAGGTCACAAACCAGCAGGACACGGGGAAAGGGGGGAGAACGTGCAGGAGGAGGTGGTGGAGATCCCCAAAAAGGTTCTGACTCCCAAAACCGTCACGGAGGAGAAGTTGGACCTGACCCTGGTGTGAGGTCCAGGTGGGAAGCAGGGCTTGGTCTCAGACCCCTCTCCTCGGTCTCAGACCCTTCTCTTTGCTCTCAGACCCTTCTCTTTGGTCTCAGACCCTTCTCTTTGGTCTCAGACCCCTCTCCTCGGTCTCAGACCCTTCTCCTCGGTCTCAGACCCTTCTCTTTGGTCTCAGACCCTTCTCTTGGCTCTCAGACCCCTCTCCTGGCTCTCAGACCCCTCTCCTGGCTCTCAGACCCCTCTCCTTGCTCTCAGACCCCTCTCCTTGCTCCCAGACCCCTCTCCTGGCTCTCAGACCCTTCTTTTGGGGTCTAAGGCCAAGCAGGCCAGAGGGACACCACAGAGATCCTGGTTTGGGATCTCGTGGGATCAACATTCCTCACTCAGCACATTTCACAGCAAAAAAAAGAAAAAAAAATGAAACCCCAAACTGGAAGGAACCTTCCAACTCCTCACCTGTGAAGAGGGGGCTGAAAACAACCGGGGAAAAGGCACTTTGAGTTCTTGTCAGTCTGTGTTTCCTGTTGGGAACAAGAAAAAAACGGGGTGAGCAGAAGAAAACACCCTTTGTTTGCCCTTCTCAGCCCGGGAGGGACCTTGTCCCTCCTTCCCAGCAGCTCCATCCAGCCCAACCCCACTCCCAGAGCAGGGCTTTGGCCTAAGTAGGGCAGGCCCAGGGGAGCTGGGGCTCTGTCCTGCCACGAAGCAAATCCCCAAGGAGGTAATTAATGGAGCCTTTGGAAAGAAAAGCCCAAGCAAGTCCAGCAGCCAGAGCCAAGGAGCTGTTTCACAACAGACCTCACGCTGCTGCCCTGGCTTGGGCATTGCCAAATTCCTTGGACAAACAGGTTGGGCCCCTGAGCAATCCGGGGCTGTGCCTGGAGCGTGGCTGTGCCTTTGGAGGACACCAAAATACAGGGGGAAGGGAGGGCAGCTAACCCCAGAGATCCCAAAAGAGATGGAAAACAGCTAAAAACACCCCTCTGGTGACTGCCAGGGATACCAGCAATCCCGTGAAGTTGCTTCCCAGCTGGTTTTATATCAATGCTGTGCTCTCCCCACTCCTTCCAGCACCTTTCCTCCCGAATGTTAAAGGGATCTTCCCACATCCAGGCAGAGAAAACACTGAGGCACAGAGCATGGGACTCCCACAGCGTGAATCCAGGGCTGGGGTGAGCAAACTTCTCCTCTTTGTGCCCAGACACATCGCTTTTATTCACACTTTTAATGTTACCTGCTCACCAGTAAAAACACTGAGAGCTCTCTCACCACCACCCTGGCAGAGCTGAGTTAATGGTTGGACTCAACGAACCACAAAGTCTTTTCCAACCTAAATGATTCCAGGATTCCCTATAAAACCCCATTAAAACGTGTGGAAGTGTTTTGATTTCGAGCCTCTCACACCTATTCCAGGTTGGGTTGTTTTGGGTTTTTTTTTTCCCCTCCTCAATTCACCAATTAATCATCCACACCCAAAATTACACTTCTGGACTAATACCAACCAACCTTAACATGCAGTGACAGCTCTGCTCCCACCCACCAAGGCAGCCAGAAAGGAACATTTTCCTGTCACCAAAACAGCTCCATTTCATGCCAAGATTTCACAGCCTCGATTTCCCAGATTTCCCATTTCATCAGCAACAGGGAGAGAGCAAGAAATGCTTCCCATGGGCCAAACCTTCCGCTTCCCAACTCCAGTCTCCCCCCCAAAAAACCTATTCCACACTCCTCACGTTCTGCTGGATCCCAATTCCACGCACACAAATCTGGGAAATGCCTGGAGCTCCAGAAAAATCAGGATTTTAGGGTCACCAACACAACCAACTGATAAATTCGGGTACCAGCCTGGCAAGTGAGTGCTGGCAGCTGCCTGAGCTTGTGCCCAACCCTGCCCCCTTTCCCTCCAACCTCCTCTGCTGCACAAATTCCTCCCCAAAACAGGCAGTTTTGCTACTTTAGCCTTTAAATCCCAACTCCCAGGCCCTGGGTGAGGGGCCACGTGTTGGTATCTCCGTCCATATTTAGTTTCTTGCAGGTCAGCAGAGCCCAGCTGTGGATTTGGGATAACAGGGCTGGTTTTCTTCCAAACTGCTGCTGCAGGAGAGGGGGAAGAGCTGCACCCAGCTGGCTCCAGGGCTGGCAGCTCCATGGGAAGGTGGGCAGGAATCCTGCTCATCCGAGCCCAAACAGCAGGAATTCTGCCTCTTGGGGATGTTTAAAAGTTAAATAACCAGCCACAGACCAAGGGAGCAGCTTCAGCTCCAGTCAGGGACAAGAGTTTGGGAACAAGCAGAGGCAGGAGTCGACCCAAAAGTTATATCCACAGGAACCACCAAATCCACTGGCTCATGGAGAGCACCAGTCCCATCCCACATCCATGGGGGCCTCAGGTCAGGAGGCAACAACCTCCAGCTCTCAGCAGGACCCAGGGAAGGGCCTGGCTCGTCCTTGTCCCACCAGCAGGGGAGCAAAAGCATCGTTAATAACTGCCCTCATCATCAGGATGGGATTCCTGGAATTGGGAGGAGCAGAGTCCTCTCTGAACCACAAGAGTTGCTGCATCAGGCACCTTGAAGTAACCTCTGCTAAAAAAATGTCTAATTAGTGCAAGGAGCTGCATGAGGAGTGACCAGTAAAGTGACCACTGAAGTGACCATCCAGCTCCCTGACCAAGAGAAGATCCAGGCAGCAATTCCCAAGTGTTTTTCTGCTCCCCAGCCCTCCCTCCCAGCTCTCCACCACCTGATCCCTGCCCTGGGAGGTCCCAGGACTCCTCCAATTAACCACAAGCCCATTAGCAAACATTATGTCATTACAGGCACCTCGTTTGAGGCCCATTTAGTCCTTTGCTGGGAACTGTCTAAAGCTGCTCCAACGCCCCACGTGCCAAGGGAGGCTCCTCGGGGGCACAGGAGCTCCAGAAAGGTCTCAACCCCTGCCCAGCTGCAGGGCTGGGAGCTGCCACCTCCCAACCCATCCTCTGCTTCAAAGGGGAGCTCGTTCCGAGGTAATTTGGGCCTGCCCTGGCTGCCTGCGGGGCTCCGTCACCACCACCCCAGGTCGGCACCTCCAGCCTGGAGAAAAGCTTCCTGCTCATCCCCCAGCAGGTCCTTGGCTGCAGGAGGAGGGAACACACCCCAAAAATCCCCAGGGGAGGAGAATGAACCCTGCAGGGAAAGGGCTGTGCTGCAACACTGAGTCCATCCAGTTATCCCCAGCTGCTCCCAGGCTGCTGCCCGGACCTGGGCGGGCTCTCCCGGCCTCCTCCGTCAGGGATTTCGGTTCTGCTGCTGGGAATGTCATGGAAAGTGGTTTCTGGACAATGCACTGGGTACAGAGCAGCTCTGTGCCCTCCACAGCTGGTACCAAACAGCTGGAACACGAGGCTGGTGGAACAGGGGGACACGTGGGGGTCCCACAGTAGATCCCAGGATTTGTCCCTCCATCCCAGCCA